ATCTGACACCTAGTGCAGTATCATAATCGAGTATAGGGGTTAGGTGTAACTTTCCAGTTTTGCCCATCAATCTCCAAGGTCCAGGGCAATACTGGAAATCTGGTCTGGTTCAGGGTTTCAAGAAAACCCACACTGCATGTACCTCAGGTCTCTCCCTGGCAGTTGAGACAAGCCACCCCAACCAACTTGGCGGCACATCAGTGTCAGCCTTGGCAGGATAAATCTCCCCAGACTTATCCAACGGTTGTGAACATTCTTAACTAACACGAGTCTCATAAGTGTCCAGTTTAATGGTATTACACAGAAACACACGACAATAACATGAATCAAATATGTACTTTATTCATTTACAATAAATGTCATAATGTACATCATTCTGATTGTAGCTAAGGGAATACACTATCTAACAGCTCCCACTTGCACTTAGGTCCAACCTGGTACAAGCCGGAGTCCCAGACTTTCCATGTGTTTCTCAAACACTTTTTGTATCAGTGGCTTAGTCAATGGGTCTGCCACATTCTCCGTTGATGCTACCTTTTAACATCAATCCCCCGTAGGTCCAATGTTGTCACCCAACACTGGAATGAGTGATATACGAAATTCCAAATTCCAAAATGAACACCTTCATTCATTAGGCAGCCTCACTTACGGCAATGTGTTCGGCTTGGGTTATGGACTGTTATTCTTACTACTTAGGACCCCTGTTTGCCGAATTTCAGCAAAACAGCACACGATCCTATCGTGAAGATATAACCAAATGTAGACATTCTACCATCTGGATCTGACTGGAAGTTGGCATCAGTATACCCCTGGATCTGTAGTGAGTTACCATCGAATGCCAGACAAAACTCTTTTGTCCTTCGAAGGTACTTAAGTATATTTTTCACAGCAGTCCAGTGCTCCTACCCTAGGTTGGCCTGGAATCTGCTTACCACACTTACTGCTTGAGCAATGTCAGGATTTGTTCACAGCATGGCATACATGATGCTCCCTACGGCTGAGGCATAGGGAACATCCTTCATGCCCACAATCCCCTCGGAAATTATAGATAAATTGTATGTTCATCAATGATCACTCACGGTATGGTTATGTGTACCTAATGAGACACAAGTCCGAATCCTTTGAAAAGTTCAAAAAGTTCAGACAAGACGTCGAGAAACAATTAGGAAGACACATTAAGGCCCTTCGATCAGATTGAGGAGGCAAATATCTCTCTAACGAATTCAGGGACTACTTAAAAGAAAATGGGATAGTATCACAACTGGCTCCTCCTGTCACACCATAGTTAAACGGTGTATCAGAGAGGAGGAATCGGACTTTATTGGATATGGTTCATTCACTTCTCGCCCACTCGGAATTACCTACACTCTTTTGGGGATACACATTAGAGACTGTGATATATGTGCTGAACCGGGTTCCAATCAAATCCATTCCAAAGACTCCCTATGAGCTTTGGACCAGCAAGAAACCAAATGTGAGACACTTGAAGATTTGGGGTTGTCCGGCACATGTTAAAAGAATAAGTGCTGATAAATTAGAATCTAAGACCAATCATTGCCTATTTGTAGGTTACCCCAAAGGCTCTGTAGGGTATTTATTCTAAGACTCAGGAGAACAGAAAGTGTTCTGTAGTCGAAATGCCCATTTCTTGGAAGAATATTACATCATGAACAATCATCGTCAGGAAGTTGTTCTTGATGAGGAGAGCTCAGGGGTAGTGGGAGATGTCTCACAAGCTCCAATTAATAACCAACCTAAGAGATCTACCTGGGTATCCAGACCTCCAATTCATTTTAGCTATGACCAAGAAAGTTACTTAGTGGAAGCCACGACCAGTGAGGAGGATCCCGTGACTTATACAGAAGCTATGTTGGACATAAATTCCTGGGTAGATGCCATGAGAACTGAAATGAACTCAATGGAGACCAATGGAGTCTGTACTCTAGTAAATCCGTCCCGTGGGGTGAAAGCAATTGGATGCAAATAGATCTATAAGAGGAAGAAGGGCCCTGATGGTAAGATTGAGACCTACAAGGCTCGTCTTGTGGCAAAATGTTACACTCAGAAAGAGGGAATCGACTATAAGGAAACATTTTCTCCCATGGCCATGCTTAAATCTATTAGGACCCTGCTAACTATAGCAGCATACCATGACTACGAGATTTGGCATGTGGATATCAAAACCGCATTCCTGAATGGAGATCTTATTGAAGATATCAATGTGTAGCAACCGCAAGGTTTCATAGCCACAGGTTAGGAACACAAGGAATATAAACAAAATCAATCTGTATATGGACTTAAGCAAGATTCTAGGAATTGGAACATCTAGTTTGACTCTACTATCAAATAGTTTGACTTTGAGTAGGATCCGGATGAACCCTGCGTTTATAGGAAACTAATGGGGATAAGGTTATGTTCTTCGTTCTGTATGTACACAACATTCTACTCATATGGAATGATGTAGGAATGTTCACTACAGTGAAAGTATGGCTTTCACAGCAATTCTTCATGAAAGATCTTGGAGAAGCCTCTTATATCTTAGGACTTCGACTCTATAAAGATGGATTGAAGAGGATAATAGGATTATCACAGTCTACTTACATTGACAAAATAGTCAAGAAATACAGTATGGAGAACTCCAAGAAAGGAAATGTTCCTTCAAGCATGGAGTCACTCTCTCCAAGGGAATGTCTCCCAAGACACCTGAGGAGATTGAGGGCATGAAGGAAGTTCCCTTTGCCTCTGCCGTAGGGAGCATCATGTATGCCTTGTTGTGCACTTGGCCAGACATTGCTCAGGCCATGAGTGTGGTAAGTAGATACCAATTTAACATAGGACAAGAACCCCGGACAGCTGTAAAAAACATAATGAAATACCTTCGAATGACAAAATGAGTTTTTTCGGGTATTTCATGGTATTTCACTACAGATCGTTGGGTATACTAATACTGACTACCAGTCAAACCCAGATGGTAGAAACTCTACATCTGGTTGCATTTTTATGATGGGTTCTTGTGTATTAAGAAAAATAGTCTGCAACCCAAGTCAAGCACATTGTCGTAAGTAAGGTTGCCTAATGAATGAAGGTGTTCATTCTAGAATTTGGAATTCAGCACATCACCCATTTCACTATTGTGTGACAACACTGGATCTGACGAGAGATTGATGTTAAAAGGTAACATCAACGGAGAATGTGGCAAACTCATTGACTAAGCCACTTATACAAAAAGTTTTTGAGAAACACATGGAAAGTCTAGGACTCCGGCTTGTACCCAATTGGACCTAAGTGCAAGTAGGAGCTGTTAGACAGCATATGCC